ATTCGATGGACACTGTTTCAATAAAAATTGCAATGTTGAGTAGAGAGAAATTCACCGTTTCCCATGCATGAGATCGTATTTTCAATTAGCCATGTAGTTTAAATCTGTACTGACTGTAGCTGATAGTATCAGGAGTCTTAGGAAGCCAAGGCTGAGAAGCAAAAATATTTTAGCATTGGAAGCATTTTCAAGAAGTTGATTTTTTATTTTAAGTCCTTTTGTTTTTTAATCTAATTTTTACAATATTTTTGTTCATTACAGCAACTACAACGTTAGAGATGATACGTAATGTCATGTTAAGGGTTTTTATAATAATGATTTCATATCTTTGTTTTTAATTGCTGAGTGTGATTTCAATAAACAAGCCAGCTTTTAAGTTTCACAAAGGTATCACTTGTTGTTGTTATCGATTAATGGGGGGCTTGATACCAACCTTGACTTTAATCTGCATTTTCCTTAAACCTTTTTCCTCCATTTTTATATTAGAGGAAGGTCCCTTAAACTTTTGATTGGTTAGGAGGTTTCATTTATTCGTAGAGTAATCTTACTCGTAACGTGGACTGAAATAACTCTTTGAGGAAAGAAGTGACAATGAACCAAACTTGAACTGACCTTTAGGGTAGGATCATACATATGAAAACAATTTCATTGATTGACTTGGAAATAACGTTAAGGGTCATTCCCTTGATAAAGTTGTATCGTTGTCTTCTTACCTTCAGTGAGCAGGGAAATTTGAGTAGTCAAATTCAAAGTTTTGGTTACCTACTATGTTGCATAAGGATAGGGAGTTGACAATCTTTGTAACGGATAGGGAATATTTCTCACTTTATGTTTGCTCTTGAGGGAAACAGTTGGTGTATTTTCGAGTGCAATTTGGTGATAAATTTTCAAGTGCTTATTATACCAAGTTGCTAGAGAAATCATGTTATAGTTATCATTGCTTGTAATGTAAATGAAAAAAGAATCACAGAAAGTCGAGACAAACGAAATTTTGACAGCGCGCACGCTATTGTAATTTGCATGCACTCCTGTTACAACTTTACATTCGTGTTACATAAAAATGCACTCATTCTCAGCCAATCAGACGCGCGTATTTTTTAACGAGTATTGTTGGTTTAGCTTTCCCAAGAGTCTCATTGTTTCCCGGGATTAAGTCGAGGTGTACAGTGAAATACATCCAGGACGAACATGGTGAGAAAAGGAGAAAAATGGATTTTCAAAGGGCACGTTTTTTAGCTGGATTTTTATGTATGTGAGTGCTTACATGGATAGAAAATTCAAAACTGAGGAGGGAAAGCTTCGTTTGATGGAATTAAGTTCAAAGACATGGTCAGCTGCATTTCGCAAAGAACCAAAATACATAGTTGTCCAAGATACATTTAATCTCGTGAGAATGGAAAGTGAGGTGTCCTGAGGTATTTATACAATTTCTTCCAACATCACCAATGCACTTTACAAGTAGAATAGGTTGTACTTGAAGTTACAGGGAATTCTTGCTATTTCAAACCTAAAACAAGAGGAAAATATGAAGGGGGTAGTGTTGCAAAGTTGGTGGCAAGTTTCCTTCTTCCTCATCTGGTAAACGTTATAGGCTGTTAGACATGCCAAGCAAGGGTTTTTATATAGAAACAACTAGGGTGGATATGTTTGCCTTAATTGTTTTTTGTTTGTTTGTCCACCTCTCTGCACAGGTTATAACTAAACTCGTTTTTAATTGTGGAAATTGATGTGGAAACTAATTTGTGCAGCATGGAACTACTGTGCACATGTGCAAATTGCACAGGTGTCTTAAATAGTAATAAAATTATAGATCGAAATTATATCTTACATAAAAGACATTGATTTTAGGTGTTGATCTATACTTTCTGTATTGTAAACAAGACCAGAAGAAATCTCTTTGCTCTTCCTATGTTGAATTAAGCTGGGTATTTGTAGTTTATTTTGATACAACTTTTATTATAGCTACTCAAATTTGAAAGTTTGCTCCATGTACAGCTGTACACTGTATCTTACATGTGACTGATCAGTCTTAAGCCAGGAATTTGTAAGAGTAGGCCCCACTCAAACGGAAAGGAAACTTGACTTGACGCTAAGTAATAAACTCCAATTTCTGGTCGTAACAGAAACCCGGAATAGGGTTGTTTGAAACATGATTATATAAGCTAATCCAGGGTTGTTGAAAACATTTTGATGTAGTTTTATTGCAATATTTACCCTTCAATGTTTTACTGCTATCAGTTTTTACCGGAGAGTAGAGCTCTGAAGATGAAACCTCAAGACATACAATCTACATAACTATATGCCTTCAAACAAGAAAAAATAGACCAAGTTTGAATTTTAGTCTATGTTAGCGCTAATTGCAGTTTGAACAATTACGTTTGCAAAATGGATTTTGGAATTCCTTGGAATTCCTAGAGTATCCTAAGAATTCCTAGGTATTTTTTCCTCGGAATTCCCAACTGTAACAACTCTGGTTCTAATCAAAGTGCTCTGTGAGCAAACTCGTGAATTGACACATGATTTTTTAGATTATGTGTAATGTTATCTGGTTTAGGGAATTTTGTGGTTGATTGTCATATCTAGAGTACGAGCAGTAGTTCAGTGTTCGCTAATGTAGCAAAGAAACAAAGTAACGTTGGGATAAGAAGGCATTACAATTGAAATGATCATGCTATTACATTTGACAAGGTGGATGATGTCATGTGTTTTAAACGTCTATCATTTTTGTTTCTGGTTCAAAAGAAAAGGTTGGAAGTAAATGTGGGTGAAAAGTGAAATTTACTGTCTTTCGTTGTAAATATTAGAAAATCAAGGCAATACTGTCTTAATGAAAACATTAACGATTCCCTCTTTATCAAATGAGACAAACGGGAACGAGTTTTGAGTGATATAATTAAGCCAAGCCTGCCACCGTCATTTTGGACCTCCGCCTGGGTAGATTTAAGTCACGTGCTAGGCAACGTATAATCAATAACAAGATAGAATTTCATTTCAGGCCTAGTTATCAATTTCGTGGTGTGTAACTTTCGCATTTTAGTACGTTGTATGTATGTTGAATCTTCAAATTGTCTTAAAAACTTAAAAGAAAATTTTTCTTTAAAAATTCACTGAAATCGGTAGCTAAAATTGTTTGTTTAGGTGTTATCTGATTTTCGTGTTAACTTATTATTTCGTCGGTCGCCGGCATCTTCTGTTGCTTCACACAGGAAAAACACACGCGACGAAACGTAATGATCAATTTTGTCCTCAATCTCACGCTATAACAGAAAAAGCTTTTGAACATCTGTAAACTCCGAGCGCTTCGCAGTAAGTGATATTTTCAATGAATCTTCGGATTGTTTTCAAGTTCAAGGATTGTAAATTACAATTTTATGAAAAACGAAGGTTGTTCTGTTATTTCAGTGTGAATCCTTGCATGCCTGCCAGTCGCTGGCGCCGCTTGTTGAAACTAAAACGAAAAAAAAAAACTCTTTTAAGATTATCATTGGCTTCTTTTTCACCCCACCACTATTCTTGGTAACAAAGGTCGCCATTTCGTCTGTTTATTGCTCGCCAAAAACTATAAAATGCACTCAAAAGCCTAAAATCTAAAAAAAGTTTACAGGAACCGACCAATCGAGCGAGCGAGCGAGCGAGCGAATTCCATTCCCCACATCGTATCTATAACTCGCTCTTGCGCATGCGCGCAATTCACGAGTTAAAAACCTGGAAATTCCCAGAAATTCCAAGTCAATAGCAAACAGGACTTGGCATTCCTAAGAAAATCCTAGGAATTCCAACTCAGAGCACCAATGACTTTCCCTGAGAGACTAAATCTAAAAACTTGCCAGAAATTCCTAGGAATTTTCAGGAATTTCTAGGAATGTTTAAGAATTACTGAGAATTTTAAGCAAAATTTTGAGGCAACTAACAACTAAAAATTCAAGTATTCAATGAAATTTATTTACATACCTAATTAAACTCAGGTTTACATGTAAAATATTTTCGATTTTATACTCACATCAACATGTAGTAATATTTGGATGGAATTTGATTTCTTTTTCTTTTATTATTTATTAAAAATAATCCTCAATTACAGCTATTCATATACAAAATAGTCCTAATCAATCATTAAATTTGGTTTGACACAGATTGTGAATAAAATCTGTTGATTCTTTTTCATAAAATACAATAACTTGAATTATATTTATTGCAATAAATACTATCAGTCAAAAAGTAGTCTTTTAATGAATCATTTAATTTTAGATGATGATACAAATGGTATTAACCCTTTCGCTCCCAGAGTCAAGCTTTGACTTGATTTTATGTGGTTGTAACCTCTTTGGATAAAGCTCTTGTATGTGAACATTCAAATGTAAGCTGTCAAGCAGCACTTTCATGTTTTAAAGTTTGTTTTTGTTGATTCTGTATACTAAAATTCAAAGATTTCTTCTCAATTTTGACTTCGCACTCTTGGGAGTGAAGGGGTTAATTAAAGTTAAATAAAATTGATTTTTGAATAAAAATCTTGTTGTAACTATAACAATAAATTAGAATGAAGTTATCCTTTCATAGGAAGTTATTCCTTTTATAGGAAGTCTGTGTATTGATTTTCCCGTTTTACAGTGCTCGATACGTAGGAGTAGAGCGCGACACATTTTGCGATAGGGGGAAAAACAGAGAGACTATACTTTCATCCCTACAGTAAGTTAAATTTATTTCCTCATGCTTTGATCTACGAAACAAGCTAGCTCGATTCTTTTTCCCTTAGCTCCTTTATTTGCATTTCGGCAATACTGTAACATTTTATGGTCATGCGAATAAAGCTTGCTGTTGTTCCTTCAGGCTGTAACATTCGCCTCCCGATAATTAAGCCGCGGGTTATTTTCAGTCCTTTTGCATTTAGAGGCTTCCAGCGTCTAAGCAGACAAACAATCACTTATATTCTCGTAGTGCTTGATTCTCTATTTAGTTTTAGGCTGTGAATGGCCATGGGTGCAAGTTTTCATAGAAAGAAGGTCGCACGCTTAGAATTCTAAGAAATAATGTCCACGTCTCCCGAAAAATTTTCATCTTAACCACTTAATTAAGAGACAATGTTTCTGAAAAAAGTGCTTTGACCTATGTAAGGAAAATTTTTATGTTGCCGGAAACTATATTTCTTTCGCAAACCTTTCAACCGGTTTTTCGTTGAAAAACGAGGACTGGTAACTCGCGCGAAAGGGAATCTTGAGCTCGTCATAGGGGCTTCACCCGTGGGATAGGTGTTAAGTACAGCTTAAATGAGCACTGTAGAACGGTCATGTAACTCGACCCGTTCTTTTATTGATAGGGTGCACTACGTCTAACACAAAAATGCAAATGTACGTTGCTCTTACCCCCAAAGAACTTTTTCCTCCCACAAAATTGTTCATGTTAACCTCGAAACGGAACCAAACTATTAATATCAAACGCCCAAGGCATTAGATGGAGAAAATGTTTAGGTAACTCAGCTCAGTTATAACGCCCTAGCTTCAGATCAACTCTTGAAAACAGAAACCTAAGATAAATCAACGTACGCGTTTCAAAGCACCAGTTTCAGTCATATGCTGCCCAAAAAAGGAAAAAGACCGTATTTTTTCGGTTGAAAGGCTATTGAATTTGTTATCTGCCGTGAACTTAACAATATTTAAACAAAACAAAGTCACACTTCCCAGTTAAGTATGACGGGCATGGAGCAGACTCGTTCGAACAAAGTACAGCAAAATCCGGTTACACTATATCATTTGCCACTTCGTCTTCGCAAGAATGTTGTTGAACTCTTCCCGCAATTCTGGAGACGTGTCATTGTGGACGGGAGCTCCATACCAGACCCGCCACAGGTGTGTGCGATGGATCGTCTAGCGAATCCATCTAAGGTTGAAAACTGGACTGAAATACATGGTACACAGATGACATCGGCGCCTGTTACATATCTCAAGAAAGATTTCAGTTGAGCTTTATCCATTCCTCTCACAAAGCGTTTCAGGAACTCAGTTGCCGCCCTCTCCGAGTTGTTTTGAGGATCTGCCTGTATCATGCTCAGTACTTTCCGGTTAGTGGGCTCACCTGTCTGGTACAAATGACACAGACTTTCGATTGTAGTCAGTTTTTCTTTGCTATTCAATATCATTAGGACCTCTCGTCACACATCAGCCACGTACTGGGGCTTCTGAATCATTTCTTTATGAGCCACTTTGAGAGTAAGATCTCTGGTATTTTCTTTTGTCGGGACTTTCCTACAACCAAACCTGTCAAGTACATCGATCAGCTCGTCGGCGTCAAAATTTCCCTTGAGCGCCTCAGCAACGTCTTCTTCATCCTTGGCGATATAATTCTGGAACGATTTAAGAAGAATCTCCGCAGGGACTGCCTTCCCGCCGAATATCACACTTACAACGAACGCTTGGCTGAGCATACAAGGGAAATAGCCCAGATCCAAGTAACCCTTTGTGAGAATTCTTCCTATAGCTGACCACTCACTGGATTAGAAATCATGTCTCAGGGCTGGAACCCTTTCTCTTTCACCAAGGGTCGATGAATCAT